TCTGTCGGCCTCTGGCTGCCCAGCCTACACCCTGGCTATGCCATGCCCGGCGCCCATCAGCCCTGAGCCGGGCATCTGGGCTCTACCCCCGGGAAACCAGCTGAGCTGGCCCAACAGCAAGCCAAAGCATCACCCGTCCTGCCCATGTAGTGCTCAGCAGCCCTTCTCCCTCTTTCCTAATGGCCCAGCTCAGCCCAGGGGAATTGCAGGCACCCTGCCCACACCCTGCTCTGGCAGGCAGTGCCCAAGCACTTCACTCCTGTCTGGGGGGAGACAGGGCGAAAATGGTGCTCCCGGGTGGGCACTTCATCGCCCTGAGACACCCAGCTCGGCACTGCATGTCCCACCTCACATAGCTCAGGTGGCCCCAAGGGATGGCTCAGCAGGTGGGAAGTGGACATGCACAGAGCCCCTCCACCAGTCACTCACCTTCTGGCTGGGGGTTGGCAGTAACAATGCACTTGAGCAGCACCTCTGCCCCCACGGCCACCGCCATGTCCTGAATGGGGATCTCAAAGATGGGGGCTTCCAGGGGGTCTTCACCCGCAGAGACGTAGGAGTCATCAGAGGACTCTGAACAGGGAGAGACATGCCCCACGGCTGTCAGCAGAATGCAGTGAGTGGGTCCTGTGCTGCCATGGGTGGCATGCAGGCAGAGCAGGGGCCCCACAACCCTCTGCCCTATGACGCCACTACGTGCCCAACACTGTCACTGGGGCATTAGCAAGTCCCCGGCCAGTGGAGGAAAGTGCCACATCAGGGGCCACCATGGCACAATGCCTACAGCAGGACACAGTAGGGGACCACAGGGCAGGGAGTGTACAGCCTGCTCTACATGCCCATACAGCATAAGGGATGTGGCAACAGTGGGGTGTGGAAGGAGGAGGTTTGTACAGCCCCCACTCCAAGATCCCCCTAACCCTCTTCAGGGTTCTGGCTGTTCTGCCACACTGTACCAGCCACAGCCTCACCCTCCCCCCACCCACACCCTCCCAGCCCCCTCCCCTTCCACGGCCACAGCACATGGGCAAAGGTCCTGGGACCATGCCAGCAGCCTCATGCACATGGGCCTGGTGCTGCTCCAGCCAGAGCAGAGCCTGGAATGAGCGCCCGGCCTGGGTGCAGTGTGGTCTCACCCCCGTGTGTTGGGATGGTCAGGACACCTCTCCCCCAGCCAAGCCACCACAGCATCCCCTGGGGACGCTTGGGCTGCACATCTGCCTGAAGCACCAAGCACAGTCCAGCCAGGACAAGCTACAATGGGTGTCCTGTGCCATGGGGCGGCCAGACCAGTCCACAGGGCTGGGTGCCAGAGTACAGCACCCTGCATCCTTCCTATGCCAGACAGGAGGGACAGAGACATCAGCAAGCATCATGACCTCAAAGTCCAGCAAACTGGTACCCAGGGTGGTTTGTCTTACGGGACTGGTTGATGCCAACATCCTCAACCTCCAGAGCCATGCCCCGCTGCCCCACCG